AGTGCAATGCGCACCATCCAAGGGATGGACACGCTTGAAACTCGGACTTGGGGGGGAGGGGAGAGGCAAGGGCAACATACGTAACCTAAACATCTATACCCCCATAATATGCTGAAATAAAAAAAAATGTATTGATATGGAACAACCTCCAAGACATATCATGGGATTTTAAAAGCACCTTACTTAATAAGTAATGTGCATGATATACCACTATCTATGTAAGAAAAAGGGAGAGACAAAGACTACTTTTGGAAAATACAAAGAAACTATAATAGAAATGGTGATGTCTCTTGAGAGAGAAGGTGGTAGACTGGTAGTGAGGGTAGGTGGGGGGGTTGTTTTTGTTTTATCCCTATGTACTACTTTCTTCTGGTTTTTTTAAAAAAATTTTATGCATGTATGACTTTTCAAAAAAAGCATTTTAAATGTAAACATATACACACAGAGAAATACAAACAAACATACGGAAATAGCTTTTAAAAAAAGTTTCTGTTGAAATATATGTACGTCATGGGGAAAAATTTCTTTTATAATGAGAGGAAAAGTCCATTTACAAATCTGCCAGCAGATTTTTCTTCCCTTATGTGTCCTTGAACTACATCATTTTTCTCCCTCTACAAATCAGAGATAATGCAAAATTGGCACTGCCAAGGTGGCTGTGGGAATTTTCCAGGTGTAACTGCTTATTTTGACTAAAGCCATCTGTTTTGGCATAAGCCCTATCTCAGCTACTAGCTGGATGGGTCCCAACCATTTCCTTTTCAGAGGCACAAAGATCCTCATATGGGAATAGTTGACTGAGAAAATACATAAGTGCCACGTCTGTGTAGAAATGTCTTGTGTCACTTCCAATGATGCCGCCTGCTCACAGAGCCCAGCCGAGCCCCAGGCCTAGAACCGCCTGATTACCCCCTAATGATTTTCAATGCATGAAAATATGCCTCTTGCTGGCCACCAGCTCTGTGGCTTGCAAGCTACTAGGACGTTCACTTTATACCTGCGGCTGATCTATCCATCAACAGAGTGATCAATTGGAAGTTACAACTCATTCCCCTGAGGAGATCTCGAACACGTGTGGGAAGAAGCCAGACACCAAGGGTGTAAACGTGCAGTCCCCTGTGTGCGCTCTCCGGGACCAGATAAAACTCATCCGTGGTGACAGATACCAGAACCCGCCTAGCTGGAGCGGGAGGGCGGAGGTGGAATGGCAAAGGGCACCAGGACCTTTTCCAGGTAATGGAAATACTCAGTATCTTCCCGAGGGTAGAGCTTATGCCCAGGTGTAGACATTCGTCATAACGCCCTGTTGTGTGCTCTTCAGAAGCACAAATGGATGCGCTTCACTATGGAAAGTTTGCCTTACTTTAAAAAGTAACTGTGGCGTGAACATGACCAGCTGCAGAACACGCGTGTACTCCATGGTACCACTGTAAAACATGAAATGAATGTATGTTTTGCTTAACACGCGCTCACACACTCGGGGAAAGGCAGCTGGGGGCCGCGCTCTGGGAGGAGGGTCCGGCCGTCCAGCGTCCGGGTGGCAGGAGGGGCGCGTGGCGCTGGGGAGACTCACCGACGCGGAGGGAGAAGGGCCACCCCCAGGGTGGGCAGAACGCGGGCAGTCGTGGGGTGAGCAGGGCCGCGGTCACTGGACACACGTCATAGTGAGGCCCAGGCCAGGCCTCAGCGTTTCCAGGCAGCGCCCTGCCCCTGGGGGGCTCTGAGCCCCGTTGCCTAGAAACGCCCCATTGTGAGCCTGGTGGTCCTTTGTTGTGGCAACCGAGTCTCCCTCGGTCCTCAGACTGGACTCGGATCTGACTGTGCTGGACGCTTTTTCTTGGAGCGGACCAGGTCAGTTCTAGGACCCGAAGCGATGTCGTCCTGGTTGGGTGGCCTTGGCTCCGGCTTAGGCCACTTCCTGGGGCAGGTGGGCGGCCATGTGGCTACGTTGACGGACGTCGAACTTAAGGAACCTATGAGACAAAATGAGGAGGAGTCACTTTCTAGAGTCAGAAATGACTCAACACCGTCTCTTAATCAAGACTCTAACAGTAATGTTAAGGATGACTTACTTAAAGAAAGGGAAGCTGAAATGAGAAACTTAAAGCAAAATCTTTCAGAAATGAATCAACTCAATGAAAATTTAAAGAGTTATTTTCGATCTCAAAATGGAAAATGGTTTCAGCTGGTGAAGATGGAAGACACATACGCCCCCAGTTCTTTTCAGCCAATCCTGAAGAAATTAAAAATTTGGAAAACACAACAGAACAAAGATTGGTGAAAGGGATAAAAGAACAAGAATTGGACATGAAAGTTCTAAATGAAAAGAATATGTCTTTAACTAAAAAGATGGAGGAGCTGTCCAGTGCTGAGATTTTCCAGCAGAAAGGTTTGGAGACACAGGGTCCTCACCCTGGAACACCTGCAGCTTCCTACCCCCACCATGTTGCTTTCCTTCAGCAGCAACTCCAAGCACGTGCTTTGGAAAGAGAGCGAATGTTAGCTATTTGGAATGCGAAGGCTAACAAAAACAGCTATCTCAAAAGAGAGAATCATCAAAGGATGGACATCATTGTTGCCAAAGAAGCAGCCATCAGCAAACTGTAAGGTGAAAATAAAAAATTGTCCACTAGTTTGGAAAGTAGCAGACATGGTGAGATGTTTAGAGACACTGTTCAGCATTTATCACAGCTCATTAGAGAAAAAGACCTTGACATAGATGCATTAAGTCAGAAGTGTCAGACTTTGGTCACATTTGGCAAACACCCAGCACTGGTAATGACATAGGAGGTATCGATAGTAATGGGTTTCAGGAACTTCTACAGGATCGTGAGAAATTAAAACACCAACTTAAGAACACGGCAGAGTGGCAACAGCAGGTAGTGAGCACAGTACAAAATATGCAGCATGAGGCAGCCCAACTTCAAGAAGCGCAATTTCAGCACAGCACAGGGAAGCTTTGCAATAGGAAGGCCAGTCTTTTAGGGCGACTAGATCTTCTATCACGGCCGTGTACGGAATCCTCAGTCTGGCCACAGCCAGCTGAATCTCCTAAAGCAAGTAAGTCTGCTGTATTGAGGGAGCTTTGGAAACTGCTCCAAGAAGGGATTGACGAACTGACAAAATCAGTGCTAGAAAAAGAGGCAAGCATTAGAACCCTCCAGGAAGATAACGAGAGCCTCTCTGATTCAATTGCTGCCACCTCGGCATGAGCAAGAAATGCACATGAACAAATGCATTTGGAAATTACTCAGCTGAGGGAGAAACAAAATATTATACACGTTACTTAAGGGGAAGAACCTTTTCATCAAAGCCAAAAATGGTCAGTTACGTTCTTTCAGGGAAAATCTCACAAAGAGAACAAAATGAGATTTTGAGGCAGGCAGTCAGCAACCTGAAGGAGAGAATGTCGGTTTTACAAATGGACACGTGTCAACTGAAACACCAAAATGAGAAAATAGCAGACACATCCAGGGAAAAGGAAACAGAATATCTGGCATTACAAAAGACCAATATGAAGTATGCCATGACACTAGTAGAAAAAGAGTTTGAGTGTCGCGAAATGAAGAAGGAGGCCCATGAATGTGAGCAACTATTGAAAGAAAAAGAACAAGGCAAAAGTGGAGAATTACATGAGCTTTTAAACACACTTAAGTCAGTGCTGGAGAAGCAGTTCTGCTTCAGCAGGAGCGAGATCAAGCCATGGTGGCCCTGAAACAGAAACAAGTGAAAACCAGGCCCTACAGAATGAGGTTCAACATTTATGTGACAAAGAGCTTCCCTTAAACCAGGAGCTATGGAAATTGCATAACCAACTATTACAATCAGAAGATTCCTATAATCATGACATTTTGGCTGCAAAAGACAGAGTGGATAAACTAACCAAGAAAGTCACAGTATTGGAGGAAAACTTAGTTTCTTTTGCAAAGGAAATGGAAAAGGCAAGCCAGGAAGCTAGCTTGCAGGCGGAGTCATTGCATGAAAAATTGAATATGGTCTCCAGACAGAAAGAGGAAATGGCATCACAGCTTTCTGTCTCAGAGGAACAGGAAACTCAGTATGCTCTAGCATTGGCTGAATGGAAAGAAAAGGAAGGACATCAAGAAGGAAAACTTGTGTCATCGCAGGAGCATTTGGATAAAGCAAATGCAGTCCTGGAGCTGAAGGAAGAACAAATGGAAACACTGAAAAACCAAAATGAGGTCCAACAGGAAGAACTGGAGGTGGTGCAAAAGAAATTGATGGAGTTACTAAACAGCATGGAAGGAAATGTGGACAAAGTCTTCATGAGAAACCTCTTCACTGCATGTTTTCAAACACCCAAAAGGAAACAACCTGAAGTGCTACAGTTAATTGGAAGCACTCTGGGTACCAAATGGGAGGAAATGGAGCAGTTGTTGAAGGAAGATCAAGGCGCTGTCACCAGGTGCATGACTGGGTGCCTTGGAAGAGGATCAAAAAGTGTCCCCAGCACACTTCTGAGGCCTAATCAGCAATCTGTGCTTAATAGTTCTTTTTCAGAACTTTATGTTAAGTATCTAGAAGCAGAATCTTATTCACCAACTTTGCTAGAAAGGCTTTCTCCTTGTGATAAGAAGCCTCTAGATTCACCAGGAAAGAACAAATTACCTAAAATCGTAACACGAAGTTTCAAAAATACCCCAGGATCCATACTCAAAAGAGCAGATGGCAATCCCTGCTCCTCAATCGTGTCTCTTATTAATCCAGATGGACTTCAAACCCATGGGTCCCAGCATCTTCTAAATGCTGTTGCAGAGGTTTCGCCACAACTACACCTTTGCTAATGTCACCTGGCGAGAGCCCAGGGGTGGTGCTGAAGGGCCTCTCAAAGGAATAGATGATTTTCAAACCAGAGACATTTATGGAAACCAAGCCTCTATGTGCATGTACTTCATATCACTGAGTGGCCTTTTCGAAAAAGTTGTTTCGTTCTAGTTTTACTTGCTTTAAATTTAATACAAGTATTCTTCATGATTTTTATAGTGTCTGTTAAGGGCTGTAAAGGTATTCCCCAGACTTAAAATTGTGATTATTTCTTGTGACGGTGGGTGTTGGTAGGACTGGACGCTGTGGTCAAAGGATGCTTCAAGGAGTGTTTGCAATGTTTTATTTATTTATGACTAGGAGCAGGCATTTGTATATATTTTCGACAATTAAAGTATTGGCTTGTGTCAAGTTTCAAAATTAGGCCGGGCGCGGTGGCTCACACCTGTAATCCTAGCTCTCTGGGAGGCCGAGGCAGGCGGATTGTTTGAGCTCAGGAGTTTGAAACCAGCCTGAGCAAGAGCAAGACCCCATCTCTACTAAAATTAGAAAGAAATTAATTGGACAACTAAAAATACATAGAAAAAAAAATTAGCCGGGCATGGTGGCACATGCCTGTAGTCCCAGCTACCTGGGAGGCTGAGTCAGGAGGAAGGTTGCTGTGAGCTAGGCTGATGCCACGGCACTCTAGCCCGGGCAGCAGAGTGAGACTCTGTCTCAAAAAAAAAAAAAAAAAAAGTTTCAAAATTATAAAATACATGAATATACATTCCTTACGCAAGGAAAAAAGGTGAAAAGCACAGAAGTACAAGATGCTCAAAATTGAAAAAAATGGAAGTTTTCTTTTGATGGCTAAGTCCCAGTCTTTTTTCTAAAGTTTCCTAGGAAACCACTCTATTTTTAACCTATTTTCTTTCAGATTTTTAGAAATATGTGTTTCTTTGTATATTTGGGAGTATGTTATTCTCTGGCATACTTTCTTAAAAAAAAATCACTACAACTGTCTCCTATTGATCAGCATTGAAGCAGTTTCTACCCCGAATCCTAACAAATGTCTATGGTCAACTCCCCTGCCCATTTCCTTAAGGGCCACTTGAAATCTTTATCACTTTCCTCAAGCACAGTCATGCCTTATACACTCTGCAGACACTAGAGACCAGCAAGCAAGAATTCCTAATTTCCCATACCCCTTTCCTGCATCCCACCATCCTCTCTCCATCCTTCTCCGCTTCTTCCCTTTTGTTTTAGAGTGAACAAGATCAAGCTTTTTAGTTCAAGGCTCAAAACTGTACCCTGTAGACTTTGGATTGAGACTTGTTCAATGATCTCATTCTGTTAATTTTCCACGCTGCTTTATCTTCTGCCTGTCTCTTCCCCTAGGCATATGAGCACACCCACGTTCCTCCTGGCATAGAATACAATCCTTTCTGCTCCTCCAGCAACCACCTTATCTCTCTACCCATCATAGTTAAGCTTTTGAAAGAATTCTTTACTCCTCATCACCACCTCATCTTTCATCAACTTCTTTTTGAAAGTGCCACACACCTTGTCCCATTAGTATCCCAGGGATTTCCATGTTGCTAACTCTAATGCACACTTTTCAGTCCTTTGCTCACTTAAACTCCCTGCACTGTCTGATACATGTTAACCACATCTTCATTCTTTACATTCTCTCCACCTTCTTTGTCTTTCGTGATCTCGCTCTCCCCAGGGTCCACTTCCTAAGGTCAGAATCTTCTTGCCCAGGCTCCTTGTGACTTCTTCTTCTGATCACTTCCTAAATGTGAATGTTCTTCATGGTACTGTCTTCAGCTAACAGGATCTTTGCACTTTCCGTTTGCACAGTCTCAGGGCAGTTTCGTCCACTACCATGAGTCATTTCCCTGGTATGTCAGTGACTTCTGAATGTTCATATCTGACCTCACCCTTCTCCTGATTTCACACTGGTTTAACTGATTGTCTCTGGACACTCCTATCATAATGGCCATCAAAATCAACATGTCCAAGAAAGAACTCAGTATCCTCCCTTGCAACCCTCTCATCACTCAATCAAGAGACCTCAGGATCCTGATTGGCCTCTCTCTGTCTCTGTCTCTGTCTTTGTCTCTTTCTCTCTCTCTCTCTCTCTCTCTCTCTCTCTCTCTCACACACACACACACACACACACACACACACACACAGACACACACACACACTTCATATCCAGTCAACCACTCAAAATACCTTAATTCTCTCTCTCTGTCTGTTCCCACTGATGTGGTCAATCCCTTCCTGTCTTGTGCATGGACCCATGCAGTAGACTCCTTACTTATATAATTGGTTCCATTCTTGCCCTACCCTGCATCCATTCTCCACACTTCTGTGAGGGTGAACTTTCATCAGGGCTATACTGGGTACGGGATGGAAAACAGCAACATTGCGCTGAGCTCCATCGTGTATGATGGTGGCAATGGCATCCATAAAGTGTATGAAGTCTCACTGATGTTCACTCAGTTGATCCCAAAGGATTCCCCAGGTAGCCAAGGGGTCTGGGAGAGGGGTGACCTCCTCCAGCACCATACCATCTGTCAAGGGACTGAAGTCAGATCAGAAGGCCACTCCTACCTTGTGGGATATGCCAGAGAGCTCAGGCTTGGTTCCATCCTGTACCAAGGAGATCTTGGTAGTCATGCCAAGCTTGTGGGGTGCTGCTTCCATGATCTAAGGAATAATGGGCAGCTGAGTATGGAGGGTCACAGGCTCAGGGTCTCTAAGAACCTCTATTTGCAGAAGTGCTCAGTGTGTGGCCAACAATTGCCACTCTCATGGTAGGTAGTTCAGGGACAAGGAAGGCAGTTTCTTACATCAGACACCCATGGACAACTTGTGGTCCTCTGGGTGGTCCATAGACTCCAGGAAGCATGAGAGAAGGTTGACTTTTACTGATCTTACTGGTTCCATTCTTGCCTCTTCACTGAGTGGGTCAATGAGGGCACCAATGGGAGCGCCCACTGCTTTTAATTTGGACAAATTCTAGAGCCTTTTGTTGGAGAGGACCCCACTCAAGGTGGGCTAATTTGCAAGTAATGACATAAATGGGTATAAGTAAAATTTTTCAACAAGAAATACGTTGCTTCCAGAACCTAAAAAAGACTTAAAGATATTGGACTTGCATATCCTGAAAAATTGTATGCCAAAAAATTTCCTCCAAAGGAGAATGTCATCAATGTAATCTCACAGTTGTATTCCAGGAGAAAGGTGGATGCAGTTAAGATCCTGCCTGCAAAGATTGCGTGTGATGGCAGAGCTGTTTAGGTAGCCTGTGGGTAGCAAGGTAAAGATGCATTGTGTCCCTTTGGAGGTGAAGGCAAACTGTGGCTGAGGGGCCTTTGAAATAGTCAAGAGCACATTAGCCAAAACCATAACAGCAAAATACCTCTTTTAAATGTAGTGGGATTCTCAAGTATTTAAGGGTCCCCGCCACCAACCCAAAGAAATTTCCTCAAGTCACATATTTTTTTGTCTCCATCAGATCACATGTGCTATGGATCTTCTGGGTGGTCATGTGGAAAGGAAGCCAGCGGCCAGCTCTGTAGGCCACCGTCCTCCTCCTCTAGGGAATGCCAGTCCATCTCCTCAGGGTTGGGATTCGCATCCAGGAAGTTCATTTTTTCTGTGGTCCAGGTGAGAGTCATCAAGCCCCTTGATCATGAGTTTAGTTCTTTGGCACCCTGTGCTAAGCACAGCCCCAGTGTGTTGGTTTGGGGTTTTGCATTAGGAAAGCAGTTGAATAGCAAATGTCCCTCCCCGTGACAGTTTTGTTTTTTTATCATCAGTGCCTGGGCCACCGACTGCCATGGACACGCACCTCTTAGGGGTCAGGAGAGCACAGGACAGCGGCAGGGGAAGCAGCAGCACAGGAAACATCACTACCTTTGTCTGAACAACAGCAACTGTAAAGAGGCAACCAGGGAGCCATTCTAAAATCTTTCCCAGGGCGATGGCCTCCTTCCATTCCACAATCACAAAGGTTGTCGCCAGGACTGCGCTGGGGGTATATTTTCCCAAACCATGTCTGTATAGCTGCCCCAAGCAGCCAGTGATGGTCATCAGGTTAGACGCATTGAGCAAAGAGCTCTCGCCTGACTCCCAGTGAGTGGAACTCAGGCACATTACCAGAAAGGATATTGTGTTGTTGCTGCCCCCAGGTGGAAGCCTGAGAGAATACCTGTCTGACACAGGCCACACCTGATGGCACCTCACACCAGGATCTGGTCAATTAACATTAGGGTGGGAAGAGACGACCACGCCTAACCGAGATAACAGAACTCGTTAGCTGAAGTGCAAGCTGGCCACCAAGCGGCAGTCACAGTCATTGCTGCCTTATAAAACCTGTCAACGGAAAAAAAAACCAAACTCTAAAATAATTTTAAAGACATTTACTTTGAGCCAAATTTGAGGACCATGACCCGGGGTCACGCCCAAGAGGCCTTGAGCAAGTGGACTCGCTGTGCTTGGATTACAGTTTGGTTTTATACATTTCAGGGAGACAGGGGTTACAGGTGAAGTCATAAATCAATACGTGGGATGCATACATTGGTTTGGCCCGAAAAGGTGGGCCATTTGAAGCTGTGATGGGGGGGGGCTTACAGGTTATAGGTG